CATTTATGTCAGTATTTTCGATTAATTTTACAATTCTAACTTTTCATTATTACAAGTTGTAAACGGTGAAAACAAACCTGACGGGATAAAATGAATTCATATTATTCAGCTCAAATTTTTGTGCTAACTCTATTCAATAGGATAAAAGGAAATCTATCTATCTATCTATCTATCTATCTATCTATCTATCTATCTATCTATCTATCTATCTATCTATCTATCTATCTATCTATCTATCTATCTATCTATCTATCTATCTATCTATCTATCTATCTATCTATCTATCTATCTATCTATCTATCTATCTATCTATCTATCTATCTATCTATCTATCTATCTATCTATCTATCTATCTATCTATCTATCTATCTATCTATCTATCTATCTATCTATCTATCTATCTATCTATCTATCTATCTATCTATCTATCTATCTATCTATCTATCTATCTATCTATCTATCTATCTATCTATCTATCTATCTATCTATCTATCTATCTATCTATCTATCTATCTATCTATCTATCTATCTATCTATCTATCTATCTATCTATCTATCTAACTTTATCATCTTGACATATTATGAGATCATCATCTCTTGCCGTTGGAGCAGTTGTTCCATTTGTACTCTGGGAATTCTGTTAAAAAGTTATTTCGATCAATTATTTAAGTATAGTACTTTATCTGTCATCTTGTTCAGTATTCACATATCGATTAAAATAGTAATGAATATGTGTACAACTGTGAATATACAAAGTAATACTTATACACCGACACATACACACACATATATATGTACATCCAAAGTAAATGAATACGGATATTAGATGGTTATCATTTGCATTTCATTATATTGACCTCACTTTATTGTTAACTTCATTATACAGTACATAGATGTATTGTGATTCATGTGTAGATCACAAATCAAATTGTCTTTCTACTTTAAATTAACTAAAATAATTGAAATGGATTCCTGTTTAAAAGAACAAAACAAACAAACCACCTATCATACATTGTATCATTTAAGATTGAATAGATATGAATTCTTTATTTAGATAAATATCAATACACTTAGTGATAAATTTATTCAAAGTCATTTCATCAATGAAAGCTCCATGATCAAATGACTATCCATTAAACTTATTCACTTGAGCTATAAATCATCTCCATCATCTCATATTCAAAGATTATTTCTTTACTATTGAAAACCACAATGAAGTTGACTAAATTATTCTTGATAGATATGTATTCCAATTATTGATCAATATTTAGTATAAATAAACAAATAGAGAACCTAATTTTCAAGGGTAAAGTTCGTTTAGATGAATTACAAAATGATTGAATTCATGAATCAATGTAAGTTAGATCACGATTGATAATCTGGAACCACTGGACGGCCGTTTCGTCTTATTGTGGGACTCCTCAGCAGTGTGCATCCACGATCCCGCCCCTGCGAGATTCTAACTCAGGACTTGTCGATCTCGCGCGCAAACGCTTAACCATCAGATTATTGAGCCGGCATTCAACGGTGTTAATGTCTAATTTCAACTAATCCACCAAAATTGAGCGACACATCAACTATTGTGTTCAGTGACTTACTATCTCACAACAGACCTGTTTGAACTCCACTGGTCATGACTTCTTACTAGAATTAGAATTATTAGACAAATTTCGCATATAACTGCTAACTATATTGATCAATTTACATGTATCCATGATGGAAGCTAATCTTATGAAACAGAAAAAACGGTTTGAGTTTCAACGACATTCAATGAATGTATCTTTGAAGGAATTTACACTAGAACAATGAAATTGTGTTTGACAATGTCAATCTCTATATGTCTGTTAACTTGATTCATCATGAAGAGAGATTGGAAATGCTGTATTTATCTATTATGCAAACATTCTAATGCAAATCATCGGTAATATTTCTTATTGTTGCTAACCAATTGCAGATATGATTGTGTAATCATGTTTTTAGTGTGTTTGTATTAGAGTATATGGTTTGGTGTAGAGTTAAAATGATAGTGTTAGTCGTCACTTGTTTTATCCCTACTTATTCATACTAGACTTAAACAAACGATTGACGGGAGTTATAAATCTTAGGAGTTCAGAGATGTATAAATAAGAACTTTCGTCTAAATTTGAACGAACAGTTTCACAATATTTGGGCGCCGAGTTAATGTGAACCATTAAAAAGGAAGAATGTAGTTGTAAAATCTTAGCGAAAGAATTTGAGATGTATGTTATGGATTTTCATAAATAGCTGTCAGAATAGAAATTCTCTAGAATTATTTGTGGAAAGTCGGGTGCAATTAGACTCATCGTGTAGGACTGAAATAATTAAATTGGTTGATTATTAAATAATAATAATAATCAATTTTATGTTTGTTTAGTCCTCAAAGTTGATGTAACTCTATCAATGAAGTTTCGAACTGCTCAAATAGTTTAGTGGTAAGGTTTCAGAATGTGAAGCTTAGTCACTTCAGTATGAACCGGTAATTTTTGTTATGCCTTGTTGTTTAGGATGAACTAGCACGGAGTCTAAATACAGTTTTTAATCGACTATGACAAGTTACCCATAACCAGTAACTCTATTATTAACACAATGCTCTGAAGGATTTAAGTCGCATTATATGAGTATATGGAATGAGCGAATGTTGATTTCGTTAATAAATAATCCATCACAGTATTTTATTTACATTGTTATATAGAATTGCATTTGATCATCAGTCTCTTATTAGCATATATGCATCCTATGTGGATAACTTCAATATAACCTTAAATCATAAGCTATTTTAAGCAAAGATGAATAATGGTTAGTATTGCAATCCCATTTGACTCATGTTTCGTTCTATTCAAGACTCGTCAGCTGAATGTACCTACATTCCAGAGTTGATGTTCACTCTGGGACTCAAACTCAGTTCCGTTTGATTCAAACGCCATTCCATCATTCACTTAGCTACTGAGTCCTAAATGTCATTTGCTTGTGCAATGAGGTGAAGTTTTAAATTCACTTGGTATTGTTAACTTAAATCTTTCCATTGTTATTTAGAATTGCAATTTATCATCAGTCTCTTATTAGTATATATGCATCCTGTGTGGATAACCTTAAGTCATAAGCTATTCTAAGCAAACATCAATATTGCTTATTAGTGGAATCCAATTTGACTCATATTTCGTCCTATTTAGAACTCATCAACCGGATATACCTATATCCCTTCTCTATCTCTATCTCTCTATCTCTCTTTATATTATAAAAAAAAACTATTCCAATTAAATAGCTAATATAAAATGTATAAAATCACGTTAAATAGATTTACAATTATTCATAATAATAATAATAATGATAAATAATTACTCGTCCCAATCACAACTATAACAGTCTACTATAAATTGAAATAAACCGGTATCTTTATTATTATTATTGTTAAGAGAAAAGTATTCATTTATTGGTGTGTGTATCTATGTGTGTGTCAATGTGAATGTGAATGTGAATGTGAATGTAGATGTTTAATGTAAACGACTGTCATTTATTTTATAGACTGACCAAAAACAACAATAACAATAACAATAAGAAGAAGAAGAAGAAGAAGAAGAAGAAGAAGAAGAAGAAGAAGAAGAAGAAGAAGAAGAAGAAGAAAGAAGTATACATGAACAAAGACTAGACGAAAAGAAATAAACAATAAAATTACTTCTATTGATCAACTTTATCTCTTCTGACTGATTGATTTAAACATTGGGAACAAAGAATCTTTCTCGCTCTCTCTCTCTCTCTCTCTCTCTCTCTCCGTGTGTGTGTATATGTGTGTGTGTATAACGCTTGTGTCTATGTATTAGGCGTGGCAATATATCACAGAGATGGAGATGAAGAGAGTGTGAGAGAGAGAGGGGGAGAAGGAGAAAGAAAGAAAGACCGATAGAGAGAGAGAGAGAGAGAGAGAGACAAACATATATTCCGAATGAACATAAACACTAATTCACATGCACTACATATATTAGATACGCATGCTGATTTATCAATAAGAATAAGAATAAGAATAATTGACAATTGAACAGATGTTTTGAATAAACAAAAAGAAAAGAAAAAAAAAGGCTGAAAAATAAAATTCTTTCAACAACACCAACAACAACAACAAAATGGATACAATTGATTAGTTTAGTGTAAGTAGAGATTTACTCTGGATACTTCCGTTTTTAGGTTTGTTTATTTGTTTGTTTGTTTGTTCTCTTTACAAAGGAATCATTTTAATGAATTGATAACTAAATGGATAGAATTAATGAAATGAATTGATTATGGATAAAAAGGGTGGATAGGTGGGTGGGTGGGTGGGTGGTTGTAAAAGAATTTTTATTTTGATAAACTAAATAATAAATAGACATAGTAACATAAATCATTGGTGAGAGATTAATTATGAATGAGGAACATATATGTAGTGAATACCGGCATCTTATTTATATGCTTCGTTATTTCTGGCATATATATATATATATTGTATTACATAAATGTCAATCAATCAGTGTAGATATTCTTGTGAATGTTAATAGGAGAATGATTAGTGTAAAACATGTGTAATTGGATGAATAAAACACAAACTAAGGTAATTAGAATGGTTGAAAATAATTAGTTGAGAATATATGAGTATTTTGATGAATAGAATTGGGTAGATCAATCTAATTCAGTAGAGAGATTAAGATGAGTTGGAGTATAAAAGACAAAAATAAGGAAGCATTAATATGAGAAACCACTATACTAATTAGTCAACACCTCATCCTTGACTGAACTCGTGTAGATCGTGTACTTGAAGAGTGTGAAGATCATTGTTTCTGAAAGATTCTGGAAGAGAGAGATTGAGTGAAAGGATAACTCGAAAAAACACATCGAATCAATTGACACCAAATGGTGAAAATAGTTAATAATAATGATTTTTAAAAAGAACAAGTATGTGATTTGGACAATTGGATAAACGAAATTATATGTGATAGCGATTAGTGTGAATATCATATTTCTACTAAACCGAATGGTCCCATATTCGATGCTTTATCTAATGATGATGATAATGATGATGATGATGATGATGATGATGATGATGATGATGATGATGATGATGATGATGATGATGATGATGATGATGATGATGATGATGATGATGATGATGATGATGATGATGATGATGATGATGATGATGATGATGATGATGATGATGATGATGATGATGATGATGATGATGATGATGATGATGATGATGATGATGATGATGATGATGATGATGATGATGATGATGATGATGATGATGATGATGATGATGATGATGATGATGATGATGATGATGATGATGATGATGATGATGATGATGATGATGATGATGATGATGATGATGATGATGATGATGATGATGATGATGATGATGATGATGATGATGATGATGATGATGATGATGATGATGATGATGATGATGATGATGATGATGATGATGATGATGATGATGATGATGATGATGATGATGATGCTGATGATGATGATGATGATGATGATGATGATGATGATGATGATGATGATGATGATGATGATGATGATGATGATGATGATGATGATGATGATGATGATGATGATGATGATGATGATGATGATGATGATGATGATGATGATGATGATGATGATGATGATGATGATGATGATGATGATGATGATGATGATGATGATGATGATGATGATGATGATGATGATGATGATGATGATGATGATGATGATGATGATGAGGATGATGATGATGATGATGATGATGATGATGATGATGATGATGATGATGATGATGATGATGATGATGATGATGATGATGATGATGATGATGATGATGATGATGATGATGATGATGATGATGATGATGATGATGATGATGATGATGATGATGATGATGATGATGATGATGATGATGATGATGATGATGATGATGATGATGATGATGATGATGATGATGATGATGATGATGATGATGATGATGATGATGATGATGATGATGATGATGATGATGATGATGATGATGATGATGATGATGATGATGATGATGATGATGATGATGATGATGATGATGATGATGATGATGATGATGATGATGATGATGATGATGATGATGATGATGATGATGATGATGATGATGATGATGATGATGTTTTAAGAAATAGTGATTCATGTAGGCTTAGAAACCATGTCCCCCAATTTTACAATGTAAAATGTTAGCGCTGAGTTATTAGACAGCAACTGACTTTTTATAGGATTCATATTTTTACATTGAATAGTCATTGAGTATTGATCAATACCGTATCTTTCTTCTAGTCCATTAATGCTATTCGAATTATTTCAATTCAGTTGTAGTGAAGCCATTTGTTTAAGTGATTAAGTGCTTTATATATGATATTTAGTTGAAAATAAAAACATCTTTAGTAAATCCAAGCGAATAAATCCCTATTACAAGGAATAAATCAATATAATGTGTTATGCAAAGATTTTCTTCTTTTGTTTAATTTGTTGTTACTCACTAATTATGCATCTTAACAAATAAAAAGTCTTACTATAAATACTGAAGTATGGAAATATAACCCCCCTCTCATGATTGGCATTTTCTTTATTTCATTAGGAAACACCAAGTGATTATAATGGAATAGTTGTGTTCTTTAAAGAACTAAATCTATATTTATGTTTACATAGACAGTCCATTATGAATTAATCGCTACCATGATCAATTCAGAATTTTGTTTAAAATCATTTCCAGCTATTATTGTTTATATTTTCTTATGTAAACTTAATTTAGCCAAATGTTATTTATGAGTCAATTAAAGCTAGACCACTATAAAAACCTGGAAGCACTAGACGACCTTTTTGTCCTATTGTGTCACTCCTCAGCAGTGCACCTCCACGATCCAACTCGCAGTAGTCGAACACAAATGTATCGGTGTAGCGCGCGAACGTTTAACTATTAGACCATTGTTCTGGCATTCAACGGTGTTAATGTCTAATTTCAACTAATCCATGAAATTCAGCGACATATCCACTACTGTGTTCAGTGATTTACTATCTCACAACATACCCAGTTGAACTCCACTGGTCATGAATTCTTACTAGAACTCCAGGAAATACCTCTTGATGCCAGTCACTAATGAGCACATGATGATTATTATTAGAAGGGGGTTTTATGAACTATAGTCATCGAATTCATGAGTCAATTAAAGTTAGACCAATGGTCCTTTGTTCGTACTCCATGGGTGGGTTCCTGGATACCCACTACTGAGAAGTCCTATACTAGAACGTAACTGTCATCCAGTGCTTCCATGTTTTTCATGGTCGTCTAGCTTAGATTGACTCATGAATTCAACTATTAAATTACTAACTTATCTGTGATTCCAACTTACTTATTTCTTAAAACTAATGTAAACCATTTGCATCTATTATAATTGCTATGTAACTCAGGTTATCAGTTTTAAAATTACTACTACTACACTGTGTTTATAATTTTGACAACCATATTCTAATTGACCTTTGTAAATGGTTCACTTGATGTTGTTTTATTTATATTTTCCCATTGTTATTTAGAACTGTAATTGATCAGCCATTTGTTGGTATATGTGCATCCTATACGAACTGCCTTAAGTCACAAGCTTTATAAATGGTTGTTTATATTAACACCGTTGGATGCCGGCTGAGTGGTCTACTTCGTTAAGCGCCCGGAGCGAGACTGATAGGTTGTGGGTTCGAATCTCAGTAGGTGAGATCGTACAAGAGTACTATTAATGAGTCCAACACTAGGACGAAACGGCTTTCCAGTGTTTCCAGGTTTTCCATAGTGGTTTAGCTTCAACTGGCTCATGATCTCAACTGTTGAAATGACTACAATCTCCACAAAACCCCTTCTGATGATACGATAATTTCTTTTTACATTCACTAATATCTACTTATTAATATTACATCATCGAAGTCATTACAAAATAGTGATATAAATAGGTGAACAGAAATTATTCTATCATAGTTACTATTCTGACTTTAGTCAGATTAGAATATAATTTAGATATTGGAATTGAACACAACATTTGTCTCCTTCATATTGAAACATACATACACACGCACATACATACACACATACCTACCTACCTATGCATAAATACTCACACACGCACACACAGGTAAAACAGTTTTGAAAGGTTATAATAATATCGAGACAACTACAGTAAAACTGAATTCAATCGATTAATTTTCAATATTGAATAGTTTTTTTTTTTATAATTTTTTTATTTTATACAAAAGAAAACCGCAAAGAGAAAAAATTTTTTTTTCTTTTTGTTTTTAGTTGAAAAATGGTTTACCATTTAATTCATTTAATTACTGTCTTCCGTTATGTTTTATTTTGATGAAGTGTACACAGGTCAAAAGGTCATTCGATAAAGTAAAAAAAAAATAGAAGGTTAAAAAGAAAAAGAAAATAATAATAATTAATAGATAAGTTTTTTCATTCAATATAAGATCATAACGACACATTGTAGAAGAAGGAAAGGAAGAAGTAGAAGAAGAAGAAGAAGAAGAAGAAGAAGAAGAATGGAAAAAATATCGACTTAGTGGTCTAGTGTTTAAGGGTTCGCGCGCACGAGATCGGTAAGTATTGGGTACGAATCCTGTGAGCGGAATTGTAGATGCGCACTGTCACAGAGAAGTCCCACAATAGGATGAAACGGCTATCCAGTGCTTCTAGGTTTTCAACAGTGATCCAGCTTAGATTGACACATGATCTGAACTATTAAAATTACTATAATATTCAGAAAACTCCTTCTGAATTAAAAGCTATTTGTTTATTATACTGTGGTCTATAAACAAACGAACAGATATTGAAATATATTAATTAACTGTCTGAAATGTAGTACATGTTATTGATACCTACTACTAATAAGTGAATGTGATGCGTACTATATTGAATATCATAGTATGTATTTGTGACTGAAGGCAATATCGAAACAGTCCACAGAGGATGCATATATAGTAACAAGAGATTGATCCGTTGTAGTTATAAAAAAAGGGAAGATACAAGGAAACAATATTAAGGGAATAGTATTTCATGAGGAGCGCATAATATAACAGAGAATATTTTTAGACATGCCCATGTATCATACAACAATGATTATTTGATGTTACCATGACTTTAAACTTTTATTACATTGCAGGCTAATTAGGAGCACTTATTTATACAGTCTAATTGTCACAAGTTCTCTTAACGTCTGTTGTACTAATGACTTAGATTTGAACGATAACAGAAATAATCCACCACCACCACCGCCACAACAACAACAACAACCATTAAACCATAAATCGTATTCGTCCAATGAACTCCTTCTATTACAAATAGACAGTCAGAAAATGAATATAACAATTCGATAAACCATCAACATTTATAAGCCAAAAAGAAACTCTTAAGATTTTGTGTATTAATCACATGAACACAACGTAACACAACTAAGAAGTCATAATCTGTCTCGTCTGATCTGAAGATAATTTTATATTGAATAGAGTTGGCGTTTATTTCAACTTCATAGTGATATTTATGTCTGAAGATCGGAATAGTACTATGTGATATTAGGAGTTTTGAATCAGTTAAAAGAAAACTCTCTTTAAACTATATTTGGTATTAGTTTACACCTATCAGTTAGGCCTATTTGCAATCGTTATCGAGTTGATCTGACTAGTTGATTTTGAACCTATGTTACTCAACTTCACAATTTGAGATGATATCAATGAGGTATTCAAAACTCAACCGACATCGTGCAGGATATATGACAATAATTTGTAATTTTAATCAATAAACTTCATCAGGCCGAAGGGGTGATAGTCATATCTCCCTCTCCAAATGCTCTCACATGACCACGTGCATAAAACCACTGCCAGAGAAATTCCATTCATTGCGTTCTCGCAACACTGGTGTTCTTTATGAAATTGAGAGGATGAAAAGCGAATGTCCGGCACTTTAACTGGGTTGGTGGATATGGAGAATCCACGTAGTGGCTGGAAAACCCTGATTCCAAATCAATGGTGCACATGGGCTACAGGATGGTGAAGGAACAAATGGCATATGAACCTATTGTTGGTCACCGGCTACAATGACGCTGTATCTCCTGACGTTGTTCCACTGCCTTATGAATTAGACTTTTAGGCCAAAATCTCGGGGTGTGGCCTCCTAAGAAAACCACCTGTTTCGATTTGGGCACCGGGAAAGTATGTCACTCCTCAGATAAATCGAATGATTTACATGATGCATGTCTATTTGTTGCCTCGTTGTACCAATGTGAATGTGTTTAAATAACTACATAGAATAACATTTATAATGATGGAAAGCTTTTCATTTTCAATTCATCGTTTCCTTTTTTTTTGTTTGTTTGTTTGTAATGAAAAATCTCACGACATTATGGTACTATTAGTTATTCACATTCAATTTGTTTTAATAGTCATAAAATTAGGTATTCTAAATTCTCACCATTCAAATGAGTAATTAATTGTATAGGCATCAATCACACACACACACACACATGCCCACACACACATGTACATACATTCATACATGTAAACATAATACATGCCCATAGTGTTTATAGTTGATATACAGTTTTTCCTAAACCTGAAATGAATTCATGGTGGCGACTAATTTATCATATTCAATGAATTGTATCTGTTATTCTTTTTTTTTGTTTGGATTATCATATGGATACTAATATGGATACTACTAATAGTAACAAATATTGATTCCTTTAAGAAAATAAAAAAACTTTTCCCTAATGTATAGAAATATATCTAAATCATTTTGTTATCCTATCATGTCATATTGTTACGGTTAGATAGGCAAAACAAAGTGTTTACTTCAATGTGTGCACATTCAATTTAGGATTTCTTAACTGAATCTAATAAGGATTGATAGTGTACAGACTAAATTGGAACACTATGGATCATTGTGGAATGGAATTCATCACTTTATATCAATTTCATTGACTATGAGAAAGCATTTGATAGCGTGGATAGGACAACACTATGGAGCCTTCTACGATACTACGACGTGCCTGAGAAGATAGCCAACATCATACGAAATTTCTATGATGGATTAAACTGCAAAATCATGCATGCAGGAGAATTGACAGACTCATTCGAGGTAAAGACCGGTGTCACGCAACGTTATTTACTCTCACCCTTTATTTTTCTCCTGGTGATCGACTGGATCATAAAGATATCAAACTCTGAGGCGAAGCATGGGATATACTGGTCAGTTTGGATGCGCCCGGATGATCTAGACTTCGCAGATGATCTGGCCCTTCTATCGCACATGGAACAACAAATGCAGGAGAAGACGACCAGTGTAGCAGCAGCCTCAGCAGCATTATGTGTCAACATACACGAAGGGGAAAGCAAGATTATTCGATACAACACAACACGCACCAAAAAAATCACACTTGACGGAAAAGCTTTGGAGAATGTAAATACCTTTACATATCTGGGCACCATCATTGGTGAGCACGATGGATCTGA